TTTTGGCCTCGTACCTCGTACTCGAATTTCGTACCAAAGTACGAGTACGAATTTTGGTATGAGCTTATAAACACAGGGGGCAGGCACATGATTCTCTTTGCTTACATAAAATATTTCCAAAATATTATTTTAACCTCCAAAATTGCATTTATTTTTTAAATTAATTTTTAAAATGTTTTTGTTTTAATAAAAAAGAAAAATGAAATAATTTAATTAAAAATAATTTTTTAAATAAGGAAATTAATTAATTAATAAAATTAAAGAAAGAATTATTTTAATTAAAAGAATTCTTTGCAGGTGAAAAAGAAATAGTTAAATGAATATAAAAAATTTTTGTATATTATAGTTTGAATATTTAGTTATTTTAATGAATTAAAATAAAAATATTTTTACTATTTTAAAAACTTAAAAAAAGAGAATAAGCCAATGAGCCAGAATAAGACATTGAGCTTTTGCATTAGGCAAATTTTTAAAACTAAAAAATTGGTAAAAGTTGTGTTAAGATTTTCATGAGAAAAAGCATTTTCACAAGTTTTAAAGAATAAAATTAGAAAATGCAAGAAATATTTTAAAAATAAAACTTTATAGTTAAAAATAGAATTTCGAGATGTCTTTATGTGAATATATTTTGATTTAGTATTTTTGATAAAACCAGCTCTCAATAAGCATTTTCCCTGCCCAAAAAATTAAACGTCATTTTTTTGTTTAATACAACATTTGGAAAAATTTATTGACAAAATTTTTTATAAGTTAACTCCTTAACCTAAATATATAATTGAAAATAATGTTGTTTTATTATAAATACTAGGGATGGACACGGGTTATCTGAAATCAAATAAAAATCTGATAAATTGTTGGAAAAAATAATAACTGATTTTTTCTCTCCTAATTAGGGTCGGGCCGGCCCGGTCTGGATCGGCATCGAATTTTGGCCCGAAAAAGACCCGAAAAAAAATGACTCGAACGTCGGCCCGACACGAAAACGGCAACCCTACTCCTATATCTAGTTTTACCTCAAAATACATAGATACAAGCTTTAATTAAAATAATTTTGTAAACAGATTTTTGAAAATTTATATAAGATTTTTGTTTCACAAATTTAATAATTAATTAAAGTAACCCAAAATTAGCTTAACATTAAACTATAAATTGCAAAAAAAATTAATTAAGTGTGAATATTTGATGAGAAAATTATTTTAAAACCTTAATTAATTATTAGAAAATTCTCATAAAAATCATAAATCTGAAAAAAGCAACACGTTTGTTGGAATTTACCTTAATTGGTATTTTTTGAATATTTATTTAATTTTTTTTAAATGTCAAAAAAAATTTTTTGTAACTTAAAATATTAAAAATGATATAGTATAAATAGAAATTAATTGAAAAAATATTTTTGGAAAGTTTTTATTTAAAAAAATTATTATTGTAAATATGACGCATTTTTAATTTAAGAATATTTTTTAAAAAGAAAAATAAAATTTTGGTGAAAATAAAGATTAAAAACAATTTTATATAAAATGTAAAAAATAAAAGTCATTTGAAAATTGAAAGAGTAAATGAAATATATGCCGCAGTTGGCAGCATATTACGCAAAGACCCTAAAAAAGGGGAAAGCAAAATTTTAAAAACAAAAAGAACAGAAATGTGGCCTTTCAAAGTCAAAGAAATTGGCTTAATACAGAAGTTTGTTAAAAAATGTTTATCATTTATTTGGTTTCAAATTTAGTATTGGATGATGATGATTTTTTGTGTTCAAAGCATATGAAAATTTTTGATTATACATATGTAGGGTTTTGGAAGTACATATATGGACGTTTATGGACGTATCTACATAATTAACTTTCGGTATAAAATTATAGCAAATTGAATGTGAAATGATATAGGTAGTTTCTCACAACTGTATACTACTATAGTAAATCGATGGTCCTCTATCGAATGGTACATTAAATAAATACCGAATTTTTGTACACAGTATCCGATGTTCCCTTGTCAGATATATTTAATATAGTATTTTTCAAACTAATTTTTAGTTTTTTCTAAATTGTTAACCCAAAATTATTTTTTAATTAGGAAAGTACATTTAAAATTTCTATTTAAAAAATTCATTGTTTAGTTGAAATATTTAAAAATAAAAAAACTTAAAGTAAATAATAAAGGGCAAATTTAATGAATTTATGGGAATATAAATAGATTCAAAAATATGGGTAGTAATCACAATAATTATTAAAAATAATTAAAATGAATATTTTAATTTCTATCCTCTTTTTTGTTCTTTTTAAAGGTTTGAATGGTGCTTCTCCTCCTTTCGGACAACTTTCTGTAAAAGGTAAACTTTTTTTGAGAATTTAAAGTAAACGAGTCACACAAAAAAGTGTCAAATTTGCAAGAAGTGTGACCTAAACACATTTCAAGATTCTGAATAAAAAATGACTGAAAGTCAGGGATAGTTAAAGTGACTATAAATTTAAAAACTAATTTAAGGTAATAAAGTCTATGGATCTAATAATCAGCCTGTAGTGTTGGCGGGAATGTCCCTCTTTTGGTCTCAATGGAGTGAAGGCTCTGTCTTCTATACAGCAAATACTGTTCAGTCATTAAAGTGTAATTGGAATGCTAATGTTGTTAGAGCAGCTATGGGAGTAGAAAATGGCGGTTATTTAACGAATCCAAGTGCTGAACAAGCTAAAGTTGAGACTGTGATAAAAGCTGCTATAGCTCAAGGAATTTATGTAATTGTTGACTGGCATGACCATAATGCCCAAAATCATGTTGATCAGGCGGTGAGTTAGAAGTTAATTTCGAGGGACCACTAATCTGTTTAACATTTCAAGAAGTTTTAATCTTAATTATGTTAAAAAATAATTCTTGAGTCAACATCTGTATTTAATCTCTCTGTGGTTTCAGTATTTAATCCGCATAACAATTAGTCCTTAAGAAAAATACTCTCATACATAACCTGAGTTTGTTTTAGACAAAACAATGCCCAGTATTAATCTTTATTGTTTTACAGATCAATTTCTTCACTTACATTGCTAAAACATACGGATCAAATCCAAACATTATTTACGAGACTTTCAATGAACCTTTACAAATTGATTGGAGTATTGTTAAAAGCTATCACGAAAAAGTCGTTGCCGCCATACGCAGATATGACAAAAAAAATTTAATAGTACTCGGAACAACAACATGGTCTCAGGATGTAGATATTGCTGCAGCAAATCCAGTTAGTGGATCTAACCTTTGCTACACTCTTCACTATTACGCGGCTTCCCACAAACAATCTCTTCGTGACAAAGCCCAAACAGCCTTGAACAAGGCAATAATCTGTCAAAAATTCTTTCCATACTTTGCTTATAATTTAAGGGAGTTTGCATTTTCGTAACAGAATACGGCACTGTTGATGCCAGTGGTGGAGGCAGTATAGATGATACCTCTTCAAACGAATGGTGGTCTTTCTTAGATTCAAACAAAATTTCTTATGCCAATTGGGCAATAGATAATAAAGCTGAGGCAGCAGCTTCCCTCACCCCCGGAACAACTCCATCACAGGTTGGGGATGATTCTCGGTTGACAGCTTCGGGCAAATTGGTGAAAAACAAACTTAAATCTATGAAAAATGGTATTTAATCTAAAAGTAGATAAAATTAACAAAACATTTCCATTTAGGTATCAATTGCAGTGGTTGAACTTCTCTTCTAATTGATCATTTTTCTATATAAGAAACTGATAATACATATATGAATTTTTTCCTAGAATAATTTAGTACTAATGATTTAGTTTGCTTTTAGAATTATAGATTGATAAATTAAAATGATAAATTTTTCTTAATTAAAAATTTCTGAATCATTGATTTCGATTTATGGTGTTTTCTAATTTAATATGCTGCTTTTTCTAATTTAATATGCTGCTGCTCTTTCATGAAAACAATTCTCACAAAACCCTAATCCTGTGATTTTTTCTCAACTCTACTTCCATTAGTATACGTTGACTTTTTTGGATTGTTCCGTCAACGGGGGATGTGTTCTGTCAACGGGGAATGTGTTCTGTCAACAGGGGATAGTGTTCTGTCAACGGGGGAAATGTTCCGTCAACGGTGGATTTCCGCTGAAGACTAATTCCGCTGAAGACTAAAATTCCGAAAAGTCTTGGAGACGAAAGTTCCAGAGACAAAAATTCGAGGATTAAACAAACTAAATAAAATTATTCGATTTATGCAATTTCCACTTATTTCCGCGAGGTTGGACATAAGATAATTAGAGGGAAAATCTATTTTCCCTCTCTCAAGGCAATCTCTCTCTCTCTCAAGGCCAAATTTCTTCTTACAATAGAACGGGATTTTTTGGATTTTATCTGTATTTATCGGTATCGGTATTTTGGAGGAAAAAACCGTTCGAATACAGAATGTTTTAATCCTCAATTAAAAATGAAAACTTTTATCAAAAAATTACGAAACAAATATTGTTTAATGTTATCTACGTAAAAAATTTTAAAAGTATAAATATGTATTTTAAAAATAAAAAATATAAAATAAAAATATTAAAAATATTTTAAATTTTAATATTTTTAAAATTTTAAAAATAAAATAAAACATAAAAATTTAATTAAAAATATAAAAATTTTAAAATAAAAATAATTTTAAATGTTTTAAAAAAATCTTAAAAATAAAAATTTTAATATTAAATTTTAAAAAATAAATATTTGTATAAAAATTTAAAAAATTTTAAATAAAAATTTAAATAAAAATATTTATAAAAATTTAAAAAAAATCCCAAAAAAATTTTACGTTATAAACGTTTAGCGTTTTCTTTCCAATAAAAAATTTTTCTCATCTCGAAATCTTTGTCCTAGTCCATAATTCTTTTGTTTTTCTTTACAATGGCATCTTAATATAAATTTAAAAAAATTCTAATTAATTAAAATGTTTTTTAATATTTTACCCAAACTCCAATTTTCATGATTTCCATCATTGAATTGCTTAAATTTTATTAAAAATTTAAATTTTAAAATAGCCAATAAACCGGTTCCTCGTCTGCCAACATCTTCTCCGAGTTGTGATTCATTGGTGTGTTTGAGGTTTCTGAGTTGAAAACATTTTGATGATAAGTTGACATGTACGGGTTGTACATTTGTTGAGAAATTTGAGACATGGGGGGAATAAATGCAGAGTTAATTTGGGTGTTATCGTTCATATTTCCAAATGTGATTCCAGACTGATAATGAGGTTGAGGCTTGGGTAACAGATTGTTTGGAGTTTCTTGAACTGAATGAATATTCCCTAAATAACTTCCAGTTCCCAACGAATGATTAGGTAAATGATTAATGTTGCTACTATGTCCTTCCATCCATTGTTGTTTATGCTGAGAAGAATGTCCAGAATAATGCAAATTCAAGTTATGATTTTGTCCACTTGGATATATTCCTCCATGATTTCCAAAATTTGTAGGAGTTAAATGGTGATTATCTGAATTTTTTAGTTTATATGGGACGTTTTATGGGATGTTTTTATATGGTGCTTTCTATTAAATTACGTGTAGATTTGAATTTTAAAAACGTAAAACGGAAGGTGGAAAAACTTGAGAAAAAAAGATAAGATGACAAAGTTAGAAAAGTTAAGCAGGATTTTTCTACCAAAATACAAAATAATTAATGTTGTATGTTCCAACACTGCTTGCTCCTTGATTACCTTGAGAAATATTCTGAAGAAAATGTTGATCATGATTTAAACTCGATGGTCCTTCATTTGCAAAGTGATGGAGACCAGGACCTGTAGCATTCGAAATTTGATTTGGATATAACTGGCTTTGCTGATTTTGCATAGAGCTGATCATTCGTCGTTGGGCTTGTCGGCCAGTGTTTAAGCCAGTAACTTTAAATTTAAAAATTTTGCGAATTTTATAATCAAAATTTTTTGTTTCAGCTAATTTTCCATTGCTAACACTAAACAAGGGTGAAGATCCCGAGTTGTTTTACGTTTCGATACTTCCTTCACTAAGCAAATAAGCTTATTCCATGAATAAGGAAACGATAACCTTTCTATGTACATGACTTAATCTAATAGAAAAATTTTTTTAATCTCATTTAAATTTTTAATAAAGTGAATTAAATACAGTATTTCACATAATGTTTAAGATTAGCAGCATCAACAGGAATAAATATCGTTTGTTTTGGCTTTACCTTTCGTTGCTTCTCTAAATTTAATAAAATCATAAATTTAAAGTTGAGTCCAAAATTGGGCCACCAAAGAGAAAAGCAAACGAATTAAAGACAAGGGGGTAATTGTAAGGTTATTGTAGTAACCTACTTCTTTTTTGTTCCGGTATCTGTGGATCCGTCTGTGTTGAAAAGTGTTGCATCATATATGAATTATCATTTGAATTTTGTCCAAAATTTGTATTTTGGTTATCTTGTATATGTTTTCCATCAGGAAAATTATTTCCATTCGTTCCATATACGCAATAAACATTAATATTTTGAATGAAAATATTCAAAAAAATTAATTTAGAAAACAAAATAAAAATCATTACCCTGGAAAAATAATAAAATTTTATTTAAATAAGGACTCGGCAATGATTTTAAAAACATTATTACTGTAAAGCATATTAGCTATTTAATCCCCAAGGCTGCGCAGTAGGCGGCATGGTCACATCAGCCGGTCTACTGAAGGTGCTGGTAACCGCCACTAGCTGAAGGAAAAAAATAGCTATACCCAGCTGCTTTACTATATTTAATTGCTTATTAACGCTCTATTCAAAATTGTATTTTTAATTTGCCTTATGAATTTGCCTTATGAAAAATCATATGATATTTTCATATGATTTTTTCATATGATTTTTTCATATGATTTTTTCATATGATTTTTTCATATGATTTTTTCATATGATTTCTTTCACAAGACCAAGTGCAAAATGCAACGGCATTTTCAAAGACATGTTTAGTCGGCAAAATATATTCAAAGAAAATATTTTTAAAATTATCGAATTTTCAAAAGGAAAAAATAATTATTTTTGAAATTCCCGACAAATTTGAAGCGGATCCGACAATTGAGAACATGACTTTTGCAGAAAAATCTAAAAATACTAAACAAAGACATGAAACACAACTAAAATAATAACATTATAAAGACCCTATTTCAAACAAGCAAAACTAGACCCGATACACCAAATCTAGTTTGTGCCCCCCTGTGTAAATGCCAGAATTAAAACAATTCTAAAACTTGTACTGAAAATAATTTTTTAAACAATTGTTACGCAAATTTCGGGGTCGCAGCTGTCGTGTGGCCACGGTCATATAATAATTTGATTCTAGATAATAAGTTAATGATCATCATCAAAATAAACTTGGACACAAACGGTTAACCAAACCGGAACCGTTAACCGGGGTTCGAAAACCGCCGATAACCGAAAACCGTGAGTAGCGGTTAATAACCGGTTGTTGTCCAAAACTACAATTTAAACTTTTAAAATAAAATTTTTCTTCTATTTTTTCTAACCCATTAGTTTTCGATTAAAATTTTTATAAGGGTGCTTATAAAACACATATTAAAAATGAGAGAAAATTAAAAATCTTGTAATCGTGTTTCTGAAAGAATTTCTTGTATTAATATAATGAAATTATAAAAATATAAATTTATTTAATTAATTAAATTGTTAAGAGAAAATATAAGAGGAGTTAAAATTTTTAATTTTCCTCTTAATGATTCCATTGCCTAGCTTATAGAAAAACGCGCGCTCATGACATTCCACGATTTTCAAGAGTGCATCATTGATTCATTAAAAAAATATATTTTTGAGTCTTGAAAAGTAAAATTAGGCCCTATACGCAAATAAGGGCGCCTTGATTTTTTATCATTTTTTCTTACACCTTAATATACAGGGTGTTTCAAATAAAAAGCACTATTTGAAAAATTCATAACTTTTTACTTCGTGACAAATTTTTATTAAATTTGGTATTTTATATCTATATTTTATGGGATTTTTTGACATTAAAATTATGTCTAAATTCTAACCCTAACTCTAACATATTTCAATTTCGTACTCTACCGTTCTCTTTTCTCCTCCTTTTCATTGCGTGCAACATTTTAAATTGGTTAAATTTCTTGTTTCCTTCAAAAATTTACTGGTAATACAAACAATTTATTTGAATTTTTTAAACAAAAATTTGATATTTAAAAATAATCTGAGAAAAATGTAAAAGGGGAACATTTTGAATTGGTTAAATTTGCTTGGTTCCTTCAAACGAAAGAAAGTTAAAATACATCTGAGAAAAATATAATAAGGGTTAGATATGTTTTTCCTATTTAATGAATAATTTTTAAAAATTTTAAATTTAATCTCTTAAAAATTTAATCTAATTTTTAGTTTTTAAAAATTAACATTTTATTTAATTTGTATATTTTAAAAAGGAACTTTTGAAAAATTATATTTTTTGAAAGGAAAGCTGGAAAAAATTCTATAAATGCAGTAAATTTTTTCTGTTTTGCACTAATCAAAAAACATTTTAATTAGAAAACTTCACAACTCCATACCCGGTTTGGCGAACGACTGTGTGTGGACAAGATTTTCTTTGTTTTTTTACAAAAAATTGGGATTTAGTATAAAATGGATGGTCAGTTTTATGTAATAAAATAATTTTTACATTTTTGCTGTAGTATTTAATTATCAAAACCTAAAACATCAAAGTAAAAAAATTAATTAAATAATGTTTCTTAACATTTGTTCCGTGAAAAATAAATTTTTGTAGAGTTAAAATATTGTTGCTGCGAACAATTTTACATGTATAAGAAAGCAATGTATTTTAATTATTTGTTACTTGCCGAAGAAATAATGGCAACCAATGACCCATCAACAATCAAAAGCTCGGGAATGCTGATACAATTTGGCAACGACAAGCAAGCGGAACAGAATTAAATTGTCGAAATTTTAATCATGAAGTAGAGAAAAGTTAAAAATGGCTGTTTACTTTTTTAAAAATGTAAACATTAAATAAAATTATATTAAAGGTAATGTATATATAACATGAGAAGATCAAATCTAATGTGAAATTTGCTAATTTTTCTTTCACTAAAAAATTAAAGATGGATGAAACTGAGCCAACTTTCTCTGAAGTACATTTCTGCTAATTTCTAGTAATTAATCTATATGAGATTTCTAGAATCAAGAATATTTCAAAAACTCCACTCCAACATTAAAAATTTTAATAAAATATTTCATTTAATAAAGAATTTATTCGACATCAATTTCAAGAATATAATTTTAAATATAAAACAATGAATTATTGTACTTTTCTAATTTCAACGGAAACATTTTATTTTTTATCGAGTGGGCGAAGCTTCAAAACTTCTTCAATACCTAATAATTTTTTATTTTATTTAAAATTAGATTAACTAAAAATACCTTTAATAATAGCTACTTCAATTACTTCTTGAGTTGATTGTGTAATTTTTGTTGTTAATGACAATTCAGGATATGTAGGAGTAAAAATGGTCATTGACTTGTGTTGATTTATTTGCCCATTTTGGTTTTTGATTAAGAAAATAGGGTATAGCCAATTCCTTAAAATGTGTGTGATATGTTTTTTATGTTCTCGACTCGAAATTTTATATTAATTTTATAATATCATTAACTATATCTCGTCCTGTTATCGTAATTTCACAGTCTTCCTGCTCCTAACAAGGGAACATTGTTTACTGTAAGTGCGAATTTGATATATTTTTTGGTACCACTCATTAGAGGACCCTCGATTTACTATTGTTGTTTGCGAGTTTTTAGCGAAAATACCAATCCCAAGGCTGAAACTGAACGGCCATAACTCGGCCCAAACTAATTTTGCAAGAAACCCTGCACACAACAATAGTATATCGAGGGTCCTCTATCGAATGGTACCAAAAAATATATCAAATTCGCATTCGCACTTACAGTAAACAATGTTCCCTTGTAAGCTTGGAATTTCGAATCTTAAAGTTATTATCGCGATACCCCCAACTTAATATTTAATTTATTTCTTTTAAAATACCATGTAGAATATGTAAAGAAAAATCTTTCCACCAATTCCAATAAATTAGCTCCAGGATATAACAAAATTACTTTAGTCAACATCAAAGAAATAGAATTTCCATCGAGAAATCCCTTTTGACTATTATAAATATTATTTTCTAAAATTTTTTAAAAATTTAATTTTAATTTTCCAAATTTACAAAAAAACCTTTTGCCCAATTTTTTAAATAAATAAATGACTGATTAAAAATATTTTTTTCTTTTTCATTTTTATTTTTTAATAAATTCTCCAAATATTCAAAAGTTTTAAATAAAGACAGGTTATAAAGAATTGAAGAATTTTGTTGTTTGTCAACAACCCCTTCTTTATTTAAATTTTTGTAAATTTTCCTCATCAAAGTTTCTATCCATTTTGAATCATTTGAGGGGATTTTTTGTTCTTCTTTATAAACAAAAAATATTTCAATTTCTGTCCCATTAATTTCTAAATAAATTTTATCGTCAGAAGTAGAAGAACGATGTACATTGTTGATTGTTCCATGAAGGCTTTTCTTAAAGTTAAATAAATTTAAATGTTGGTAAATAAATAATTGTCTTATTCAGACCTGCTCATGGATACGGATATGGATACAGATAATATCAAAATGGCTGCGAATATCCGCCTGTATCCGTCGTAAATATGCGGATACGGATACCAAAATCATTATCCGTGAGCAGGTCTGGTCTTATCAAAGAAATTAAACCTATGAAAGAGTTCTTTATAATTAAAGCAAAATCATGCGACTTATTTTTTAAGGAATATGTTATGCTGTGTTATGTTATGTTAGTTGTAATTTAGGTTAGCATGTTTGCCACTGAACTTTTCAATAACAGCGATAGCTATTGGGCAACATATGGATCAGTGGGGTGCCGAAACAAATTTTAAAAAGCAAAACATGAAGGATAAAACACCAAAAAAGGCGAAAATAAGGAAACATAATTCTAAGGAAACATAATCATCTGTTGACAGTTATTGTTCGTTTTTCCTATATTATTATTTTCGAAAATCATTTGTTTTTACCTTGCAAATAAAACAGAAAAACGAATTTTCTGGACAATTATATACAAATGGAGGTTCACAAAACGTTGAAGGTTCTCCATTAAATATTTGTTTAGCCTTTACTTTTTCCTCTTCTTCTCCTTCACCTTTTCCTGTCCCTACAGCAACAACAATTGCTTGGATATGTCCTCCTAATTTATTGAATGGACTGGCCATTAATAATCCAAAATTGAAATTTTTTGTTAAATCAATCCATTTATCAAATAAAGTTTTCAAGAATTCCATTTGATTTTTAATATTTTTTCTATTCGGAAAAAATCTTTGATTAATTAAAGAATTTAAATTAAATTCCTCTTTTAATAATTCCATTGGGTCGTTACTTTTTATATTTATTTTATTTTGGAATTCTTCATCATTATTTTCAAAGGAATCTTCCTTTAAAGATAAAGGTTGAAAGCCATTCGGATTTATGTTTTCTTTGTTGGTATTGTCTTAAAAGAAAGTTTTTAATAAAGTGGCATATCAATGAGGAAAGAAAAGCTTGTTTCGTGAATTAGAATTTTAACTGTGTATGCATATGATGTGCAACATTATTATGTAGAGTTGTACCCCGAACCCCGACCGAAAATTGAAATTTTTTGTAAAATCAATCCATTTATCAAATAAAATTGCCATAACACGAACCCCGGTCCAAAACAATGTGAAAACCCCATCCCCCGACATGTTCGCCCCCGAACGTTCGGGGCAAACCTTATTTTTAAGAAAACTCTTGATCCCAATTCTCTTACGATTATCTCACTTCTTTTCATTAAAATTAGTCTAGATAAAAATCAACAAGATTAAAACAAAAAATATTCCAACTGTGTCAACCAAATATTTTCAATTTTAATTTCAAAAAAGTCCAAACCTAATTCAATTAATTCCTTCATTTGTTTAATTTCTTCAACTCGTTTCTGTACATTTAATATCAACAACTCCTTTTCATCATCTTCCTCCAAATTAAACATTTTATAGACAAAATGTCTCTGATTTAAGCCGAACATTCCCTCCCAAATTATTTGGGTTTCTTTTACAAAATAATTACAAATTTTTTGAAATTTTAATTTTTCTTTAATTTTTTCAATTATTTTAAAATTTCCAAAAATTTCTTTTTTATTCATTTCTTCAAAAATAATTTTTCCTTCAATTTCTATTAATATTTGAATTAATAAATATTCCAATTCTTTTTCTATTTTTTTATTTTCTTTATTTTTTAAAATTAATTTATTTTTTATTTTTTTCCATTTTTCTTCCAATTTATTAAAAATATTTATTTTTTCTTTTTCAAAATAAATATCAAAAATATTTTTATAAAAATTCTTTAATTTCTCCAAAAATTCAAAACGCTTTCCAATTTCATTTACATAAATTCCAACATCAACAAAACTTTGTGAGATTGCCTGTTTTCCTTTTTTAAATTCATTAAAAATTAAAAACAAATTTTTATCTTCCGTAAAATACTCCAATTTGATGGTTTCTTCATGATTTTCATTTTTTTCTATTTTTGTTTCTTCCTTTTTAATTTCTGATATTATATCATTCTCTACTGTTATTACTTTTTTCTTCTCCTTAAAATAAAATATAGGCAATTTTTTGGATATATCATAATTAATTTAAACCTTTATGTCCGTATTTATTTGTGGAATTATTTCAAGTTCTTTATCTGTTTGATTCGTATTCGTTCCAATCACCTTAATTTAATTTTAATTATACCTGAACGGCCCTTATTTTCTATTTAAGATAGAATTTTAAATATACTATTACATATTAATTAGCTCGATTAGGAACTTTTTGTCTAGAAGATAGATTATAATTATTTTTAAAAAATTGAATTTTGTAATCTTTTTAAAATATGCACATGATATCGCCAGGTTTTCTTCGCATCATCAAATTATTTCGCAGAGATATGATCAGCATTTTTTCATAACCTTATTTAGTTATGCCAGATTTCATTGAAATTAGATTATGAAAGAAATCAAATGATATATAATATTTGTGTCTTTTTATAAGTACATAAAAAATTCTTTAAGATTAATCACCTGAATTTTCCTATCTGATTTTGTCTTCTCATTTTTTCGTTTATTATCGGGTTTAGCTGTTGCTTTTACATTCTTTTTTGTTTTCTTCATTTTTATCTCTTTATTTACTGCTTGATTCTTTTCAAGTTTTATTTTATGATTATTCAATATCCTTATTAATTTATTAGTACTTTTTTGATCAAAAAAACTTTGAAGATTTTGAGTTAATCTTTCCTGCCCCTTTTCTTCTTCAATTGCTATAATTTATATTTTAAACTTTAGAGCCAAGATATTGGTGAAAATTTATTTTAAAACTAATGGTATGTCAGGTTACTTTTCCTGCTCTGACTATATTTTTTCATCCTTTCGTACACGATACACCTATATCGCTCAAATATCAATTAAGAACCTCTAGTAATCTAACCCCTAGTAATCCCCCAAAGAAGGAAAAATTCCCGAAAATCGAGAATTCACGACGATTTCCCGATTCACGAAAATCGTGAATTCGAAAATTTCGGAAATTCACGAATCACGGAAATCGGGAATTTGATTTTCTGTTGGCGCGATCCCTGATGTGCAATATTAGAAATTTAGATCAGGATTCACAGCTTTAGCGGCAATTTCAAAGTTTTTGGATTTGAAGAGGGTCAAAAGGACATACATAAATCCTTTTTTATCGCTGAAGAATAGGGGTATTTTGGTGCAAAAATCAAGCAATTATTAAAAACTCTAAACTTTTTGAGAGGTTTAAAAGAAGTTTGGAATCCTCTTCAATTAATAATTTATTTATTGTAATCCAATGCATCTCAATTAGCCAATTTTTAAAATCTTGAGAAGTTTTGTTGCTATACTCTTTATTTCCTAATTCAATCCATTTTGCAACAAATTCCTCTAATTCATTTGGTTCCTAAATAAAATTTAAATATTGTGAGATTGTATCGCGAAAAAATTTGCTCGATATCTCGCTTTTCTATTCCTTAATTCATAGTAAATGACTATGATCTTTGAAAATTATTTATCTAAGGAAATGCATTCAAGAGACTAAATGATAAAACCTCTAGAGGGGAGCTATTTTAGAAGGGGGGGGGGGGTTATTTTAGAGGTAGGGATTATTTTTTTCGATGTCCAAATTTTTTAAAAAGCTAAAATCTATCACCAAATTTTGAATAAATTTTTCTAAAATTTAATAGAATTCATTACTAACTAAATCCCTTAATCCTTCAGTATCTAGTTATATCCCTCCAATCCCCGATATCCCCCATAATCATTTCTAATCTTATTGAAATAAGAGACCCAACATTGATTTGCTTTGAAAAAAACAATGCAAGAACAATTAAATATTTTAGGGGGGGGCTATTTTAGAGAGGGGGTTATTTTAGAGAGAAGGGGTGGTAGTATTTTTCTATCTACCTCTAGGGGGGGGGCTATTTTAGAGGGGGGTATCTTATTCGATCCACCTCTAGGGGTGGGGCTATTTTAGGAGGGGGGAGGGGTTATTTTAGAGGGGGGGGGGGATGTGTTATTTTAGTGAAAATACTGTATATAGATTACCACTATATTTCCATTGTGACTTAATTGATCAATTAACATATTTATATCTTCCATTTTACCTAATATTTTAATATTTTCTTCTTGAAAATGAGTTTCCTCTGTAATAAATAATCTTTCATAGTATAAATATAAAATAACATTTTGTTCTTCCCATTTAACTGTAAATAATCTCCTTCTGTAATCATTTTTCCATTTTCTTATATTTAAACAAAAATCTATCCATCTATACCAAATAAGATAATTTGCCATAATATGATTTATAAATCTTTTATTTTCATTTTGTGATGTCAACGACTTTGTGTAGTGAATGGATAGTTGATGATCGCCGATAAGCACTAAATTTTTGATTATGATTTACTTTTATTTGCTATGTATTTTAGGTCAGGTAACAACCCGACCCCGACCTCGACGGATTTTTTGGCAAAATCCCCGACCCGAATCCCGACATACTTTCCGCGGCAAACCCCGATCCCCGGCACACCCTTCCCCGAAGGGTTTTTTAGTGTTTTTAAATTCTCATTCCTCGAAGTGACAGCCGCGAAAATACCAAGGGATAATTTTAACTGATCTGCATATACCAAGGGAGTGAACTGGCTCGTAGAGATCGAGAATATCCCAACAAGTCTATGGATTTATAGAAGGGTTCCTCCAATAATTCTGTTTAGTTTAGCCGGAACTTTTATGTTTTTGATATTTTTAATTATCAAATTAAGTGACATTATATTCGATAAGATTTACTATTTTAATTTAATATTACATACATTCATTGTCGAGTATTTTCCATTTTTTCAAATAATTATTAAAATTTTCACCAACAAATATAGTTAAAAGAAAATAAATTGTTCCTCTTTTTGACTTAATCTCTTCCAAGATGCTTTTATCTTGATCAAATTTTTTATCAAAAAATTTTGCGTGGGTTGAGGCGAGAAATTTTCTAGTTGTAATATAACAATTCTCGTAGTAGTTTACATCGTTTTTTTCATCATTTAAGATAACATTAATGGCATTTAATCGAAGTGAAATTTCTTTAATTATATATCCAGCTTCTCCTTCTTTGGCTTTTTCAATTAATTCAGCCTTTTTATCTTGAAGCATTTCTACAATTGAGAATAAAATTAAAACTGAATATTCACTAGAATAAGTCAAATGAGTATAAGCATCATCCTTTACTTCACTAAAAATATTTTTAATTTCAATAAACTTTTGATTTTCTTCATTAATTTCATCATTTTTTAAATAATGAAGCAAAATATCTTCAAATATCTCTAATTTTGAGAGTAAAATTGAAGTGTTTATTCGATGCTCGGCTTGACTATAATATTTTTCTTCATCAAAGTCATGCATATTTTCTTCGGGAATATCCATTCTTAAAGCTTTCCTATACAAATTCCATCGATGTGTTGGATCCATTACAGCTGGAATTAAAAAATTAAATTTTGTATAATTTCTATTCTTGTACATATTATCAGTTTATAAACTTTTTAATAATTTTTTCTTCTCCATATTTCGCATTTTTATTATAATTTTAATCGCAACATTGTGACTTAATTTATTCGCTTAACTTTTTGTTATACGAAGAATTGTTCAAAACATAAAAAGTCTGTAACTAACTTTGACTTTGAATGTTTTGGAGAACCTTAGTTGAATATAATTTTTTTGTCCAGCGATATTTGCCAAGGCTGACCAAATAAGATTAACAGTTTATTCAACTGTAGGCGAAGGTCGAATGTGATAATTCAAAGGAAACGACGGGCTTGTTAGTTAAGTATGCTCCGTATATTTTCATAAGCCGAATGCTTATATTGTAATAACACTACACAACAATAGATTTTGATAGTTCCCAAATATTTCTTTTAAAATTAGCTTACATAAATGCATAATCGTTGGATATTGATTCTCCAATTGTTCTAATAACGAATAATCAACCAATTTTAACAAAGCCGTTTTTGTAGAAATTTTTTTGAAAATAGACTCATCAAAATCTTCTATTATATTAAATAGAGATTCATAATGTGAGATGTTCATTTCTTCCATAAATGAATCTGAAGCAAAGCAGGTTTCGATCACCTCTTTTATTTGTTCTTCATTCTCACATTTAATCTCATCTTCAAAAAGATCTATATCCTAAAATTATTTTATAATTACAAAAATTCAAATTGCCAATAAGGAATGCTAATTTCATTAACTTAAACATAAGCCAGCTTCAATTCTGTGACTGTAGAGTGATCCGTTCGAATATGGCCGGATCCAAAAATGGCCAGTTAGGTTTTAAACAACAGAACTCAAAATGAAAGTGGCTTATAGCTTGTTTTCATTTTAGTTGTAAATGTCGAAATTTTATTTACCGCTAAGAATAATATTTTTTTGCTAAGGATTATCAAGAAAATTTAAATATTATATTGATATTTTTGATACTTATTTAAAAATTACATATTTTGGAAGATATTTCCGTTGATCTAGTATGTCTATCCAAAATTTGTTTTTTAACAACTTTTCATTTTTAATCCAAAAATAAACAAATTTATAAACTTCACAAAATTTCTTCTCAGTATTCCAAAAATCAAAATTTTCTAAAAATCTCTTAGCCATTTCTAACGAATTTTCATTGAATTTTATAAATTCTTTTTTAAATTCTTCTGTCCAACTATAGTCACTCTCCTCGTTTTCGTAGTCTTGAAAACTGGAAAAAATTTTATATGCCCTTATATTTTCATCATCTTCCTTTTCGAAATCACAATTTTTGCCTGCACTTTCTTCTATAAACATTTTCAAATTTCTAATGTGGGAGAATAAGGAAAGCTTCCTCAAGTAATCTTCATCAGTATTTTCTGTTAAAAATTTATTGTATAATTCAAAATATTCTAATTCTTCTATTTCTAGATTTGTTTTATATTCAGCACTTTTAAATAAATCATTTGGCATTGCAATTGTTGCAATAAAACAATAAAAAATTATAATTGTAAACATTGCCTCGAAATTTACTGTTTAATTCAATTTCTGATTAAAATAAAGGGCAATCAACAATTCAAAATATTTGTATTTTAAGAAGATTTAAAAAAATATTTAATAATGTCTGTGAATTAAAAGGGCTTTAATGTAAATTAAGAAATAAATAAATGAAAGAAAGGCCCGACAGACATATGATTGCACTTTTAAGCATGATGCAATATTATTTATTTTCATCATGCTTATTGAGAAATTAACGTTTAGACGTAGTCTGTATTTTCAAAATACAATTTAAGAAAAAAATTAAAATAAAAGGAGGATAAAGTTTTATTATAGACGCAGTCTAGGGAGTTACTTTTCCCCGATTATTCCTTTCAAAACATGTAAGTGGACAGTATTTTTTGTAAGTCCATAAAATTTCACAAATTTTCCCATTAAATTAAATTGTAAAAAAGCATTGTTTTAAGTTAATAATATTGAGGTTTTTATTAAAACTATACTGAAACCCAAGATAGACTTAAGACAAAGTGGTTGAGCTTTTATAAATGCACACCCCTATGTCATTGAATTTTTTGGATTTCCATTTTTATACATCGAAATGTAAGAAATCTGGCCTCATGGCTTTCACGGATCTCAAAATTTTCGCCTTCGGTCTAGCACTTTCAGCGCCAAAATACCAAATAAAATTCAAAATCCCAATTTCCAATGAATTCTTCGAAATTATAGGTGTAGTGCGAAGGTAAGAATATTAAACCAAAAATTTTCCTTATGGGCCAAAAATTTTTTTTAGTCTTTTTAATATTTAGTCTTGAGTCTTGGTTTTAGCCGCTTGGGGTGCATTTTTGGTGATTCTGTATTGTTCCCGCAAAAGCTTGTGAATTTATAATTAAGTAAGCGACATTAGAGATTATAAATTTTTTGACTAAGAAGTAAAATTAACTATCTTTACATATATGAAAAGATAGAGCAGATTCAGGGCTACAAAATAGCATAAAAATAGCCCATATTTAGCCTTATTTTATTAATTAATACATAATTTACTTATAACTAGAGTTGGACAAAACGATACTGGTATCGGCCAACCCGAGACCGAGATTGACCGATACTCAAGAACCCGATACCGAGACCGATACCATCATTTTGAGCCGAGACCGATACCGAGAAACGATACTGACCGAGACTAACAGAAATTTTTATTTTACGTCAAAAAATACGTGTAAAAATAATTTATTCATTATTTTCATCATCCAAATCATCAGATAAATACTCTTCATCATCTGGATCCGATTCGATTGATGGTCTACTTAATCCGTCATTGGCTTTCCAAATATAACGATATCCGCCTTACATTCGATATCTCTCCAAATCCATTGATATCCCCTTAAACACCATAATCCCTCCAAATAACCCAGTATTGTATTTAAGCCTTTTAATTTTTAAATTACTGGGACTCAATTTAGCTAGATAAAGGGCAACCCAGTCGTGCGAACTCAATCGTGAGGGCTTAGTGAAACGCTCGGATTTTGCAAGGCAAATAAAGAAAGATTCACTCTTTTCGGCGCCGCAGGCGAAAATTTTTTGAAATTCAGAAGGCCAAAGGTCAAAAATCCTCAGTTTTATTAGAAAATAAAAGAAAATTGGGGTCTCTGAGTCAGTATCGTTTCTCGCCGAGAAATGGACCGAGAATATCGGTATCGGTTTCGAGAACGAGAATGAAAAAACCGAGACCGATATTGGAAAAAAGCCGAGAATCTCGGTATCGGTCTCGGTATCGGTCTCGTCTTGTCCAACTCTACTTATAACAGAAAAAATGACTTTATCAAAAATATATTTTTTAATATTATTATTTTCATTATCAACAATTATTTCAACAACAGATATAATTTATTCACCAGAGTATGATCAGTATAATAAAATCGAAACAAATTACCTTGTATTTATGTACAGAATATATTTAAATGGATCTACTAGTGAGGCATTTGTTAAGGAATTATCTATTAGATCATTCACTTGGAATTGGAAAAATTTTCTCGAGGCAATTATCATTAAGAAAGGAACAATATTGGAAAGCAATAGAAATTCTGAATTTGCTAGAGCTTTTTATCAATTATTAGAAGATTCAACGAAATTATTAAAGGAGATTTTAATTAGTACAACAAAAAATAATTCACCAAAACTTTTGTTGAATAAAAAGGAATTCTGTTTATTGTATCGTTTTCTAAATTTAATGGCAAAAAACAAAATACTTTTAGAAAATAAAAATTGGAAAACTTTTGTTAAAAATTGTTTAATTATTCAGGATATTGTAAGTGTCATAAGAATTTCGTCTAAAATCTTAATTTGGGTTTAAATATGTTAAAGCTCCTCAAGATCCTCTTAATCCGTTTATTTCCTCCTAATCAGCACAAGCCTTCAGTAAATCGTTTATTTCCTCTTAATCCCTTTAATAACCCGACATCTTCTTGACTATTGAAAATTGCTTTATTGAGAAGTATTATTCAATTTTTAAGCTAATTATCAAATAATTTAGGGAATATAGATGGGATAAGAGGAACTTAATCCTTATATATCTTTCATAATCCTTCTAGATTAGTCTTAATTCCTCCTAACCTCCAATATCTTCGTAATACCTCCACTTTCTTCTTAATCCTTTTAATAACGCGACATATCCTTAGCTATTAGAAATAGCTTTATTGAAAATTATTATTGAATTTTTAAGCTAATTATCGAATAATTTAAGGAAATATAGATGGGCTAAGAGGATATCCCCTTAATCCTTCTACATATATCTTTCTTAATCCTAAAGATTACTTCAATATCTCACTATATCGTCTTAATTCCTCTTACGCTCCAATATCTTCTTAATCCCTCCACTTAGTTAATACCTAGAAATAACCGGCAACCAACTTAATCTCTTTATATTTTCGCTTTAAATGTCAGAAAATATTTAAAACTACTTGTGACAAAACTTATTGTATACGATGTTCTTATGCTGTGGAAAAATTGTGGATGGGAGATGGAATTGAACCATCATGGAATGAGCCCAAACCGAAAGCACAACCGACTGTGCCACCATCCAACCCGATGTTGGGTTATTTATTTTCATTTATGTTCTTTCTGCAAGTGCGGACACAACAAAACTATTTAGAAATTAAATTTTAGGGGATATCTATTTTCAATGACGATATTTTATGTGAAACGACCGAACAATTTGACGATACTATTGATAAATGTTTTGCAAATCCTTCATTTCAATCTAAAATTGGATTATCACATTCTTTATTTTATAATCTATTCGAAGAAAATTTACAGCCTTTGATTTTTAAAAAAATTGAATCAAAAAAGTTTATGAAGAATTTAATTGGAAATGAAAGGTTTAATGTGATAGATAATAAAATACATGATGATATTCGGCAAGAAATGCAGATATGTAAGTTAATTAGAAAATGGAGATTTTTATAACTATCTTTTTATTGAAAAATACTAATATTTAAAAAAATTAAAAGTTCTAAAATTAGATTATGTAGTTTCTTGTTTATTCCTTATTTAATGGATCCGAGTTAAACCAAAAAACTGAGAACATAAAACTCTAAAAAATAAACATCCTAGTCTGGAACGAAACAATTAGTAGTAAACAAACCATTCTAGATGTAAGTATAAGTCGAGCTAGGGGGATAATTAAATATAACTTTAAATATATTCTGAACTCAATTTTATTAAATAAAACTCAGGTTAAGATATTTTTTAATTACTTGGATTCTGAATGTGAGGAATTACCAAATTTATTAATCCCCAAATAATGGATACACTTGATTTAGGTGTTATGCCGAGGGTTGCACGAAGTAGACGTGCAAAAGATTAACAGTTTATGCAATTGAGAAATGTACAATGTGTAGGCGAAGGGATTGAGCTGGAACAGACGAAGGAGATCAGGGACTAGTCGGGCTAGTATGATCCAATTAGACTGACGACTACAGTGGCTTTTATAGTAGTGTTATCACTACACAACATTAGGATAGAATATTTCGGCCCAGGGAGTATTTTAAAGTGAAGTATGATTGTATCTGGATAGTTATTAACAAGAGTCCGATTACGACTATGTATCTTAGTTAAATGATTATTTAATTTTGGGGGTTACTTGAAAAGTATTCAAGCAATTACTTTGATAGACTGTAATTATTCTTTTAGCAATATTGGAGCCTACGAATAGATGGAATTTATACAAAAAAATATTCCAGTACAATGTTCCTGAGGACAGAATGCATGATAATTATGCTTTAAAATATTTAACCAAAGAAGAATTTAAATTAAACAAAGCAATTTTGTTAAATTTAATAGAAAAAGCTGAGAATAAACTTTTAAAAATCTCAAATTATTCAAGTGAATTAGAGGATATATTTAAAATAATTAAATATAGGGCATATGAATCTATGAATAATGAATATAATGGCTCATTAAATATTACATTAACTTATTTAATGTTTTTAAACAAGAGAGTATATAAATTTGAAGATTTGATTAACTCTGGAAAGACAGAAATTGTTTTTAAAGAAATAAATGAATTTATTGAAAATATTCAAATTAAAGTTTATAATGAAGAAGATTATTTGAAACTGAGGGAATTCCTTAACGAGGATCATATGGAATTTTTGGGCAAAAAATTTAAAAATAAAAATATTCTTAAAGAGCTAAAAGAGAAAAAAGAAGCAAATCTTTTTTTCCTATTCCAGCTTTTGTATCAAAATTCAGAAACACATGCATTTTTGGATAAGTATGGACTGCTCGACACTAGTGGTAGGTGAACGTGTGAATTTGGATCTGGATATTTAAAATTCTGATGTCGGATCCGGAGTTTTTGAAGTGATCTATTTTGAAAATATAAAATGCCGAAACAACGAAATTTTCAGTTTAAAAAATAACAATTAATTTTTAAAAGCAAAAAAGCCACCCGATCCCAATAGAGATACCGAGACCGCTGCAGTCTAGTTAAGACACGCGCCTTTTTTCTTAACATTTATTGAATGATTAAATTTTTAGGAGAAAATTAAAATATTCATTTTAATTATTTAATGAGTAAAAGAATTATTTGAAAATAAATATTCTTAACGCTGCATAAAACCTTCTGGGGTAGCTCGGGGAAATTCTCCCAAGGGAGCAGGGGGTAAGGGTAATTTAAAAAGAAGTCACAAATCCCCCTACTTTTGTGGATGTATAGGGCAAAATCCGAATAATCTCTTAGATATAAGTGGATGAAATATTTAATTTTAAGACTAAAATTAAATAATTTAGTGCTTCTTGATAAGAAAAAAATATCATCATTTTATATAAAAGCATTGACAAAAGAACAGGAAATTGAACAAAAAGCTAATAAAATAATAGCTGATTTTCTTGTTTGGTTTAATTGGGGATATTCATTATTAAATGAAAAAGGAAAACGAAAGGATAATGAAAAAAGGACGAATATTTTGGCAGTTTGGAATGCTCAAAGATACAATCATTTAGTTCATTATCTTAAATTGCTTTGGATTGAGGAGTTTAGATTTGAGGAGACAAAAATTGAATTATTATGCAAGCTTGAATTGTTGAAATTAATGATTGAACGTTTAATGAAAGAAAAGGTTATTTATTAAATTTTGTGAATGAGGAGGGTGTTTTAAGAGTGGAGGGAATTATCTTAGAAGGAATGAAATTTTTATAAATTATTTGTAAAATATTTACATAAAATATTTTAGCTAGTTCCTGATATAAATGTAATCCTTGCTGAATGGGGCGTAATCGAGAGAGCAGAATATTACAAAGCAAACAAAAACATAAGCGAGACATTTGAGGAATGGCTAAGAGACAGACATTATGAAATGATAAAAAATTTGGTAGAAGATAATAAAAGTAATTTACTTGCAGTTCTGATAAAATGTTGGTATTTATTTGATTTTATTTTAAGGTGCTGGAGGAGGGTGTAGGTGTTGAAGAGGGGGGGGGGGGGTGTTGGAGAATGTGATGGAGAAGGGGTAGGGGCGGTCGGTTAAAGATATCTTTAAATGATAAGAACGCCATAATTATAATCAGAATCAGTAATCAACTACATCCTTACACTTAGGTCATAAACAAGCTTAGGAAGGGGCCATTCAAGCATCTTTATTTTGAAAATATAATTACTGAAATTTTAGTATTTGGAAATAATAGCCAGAAAGTATTAGAGGACAAATTAACAATTTTTATCAATAAGGAAAATATTAAAAAATTACTAATGAATTTGGCAAAAATAATAGAAATACAAAATAAAAATGAAAAAAGCAAGGGAAAGGCGAAAGAGAAGAAAAAAGAAACTGAAAGAAAATTTAAATCTAAAATTTCTGAAAACCCCAAAGATGATAAAGAGGTTTTTTAATGTTTACTAATGGAATTATAATATAAAAATATCATGCAGCCTAAATCTCTGTTTGAAAGTATATGAAATCACAAAAGTTCAGTAATCAGCAAGTCTAGACATTCCTGCCTACGATAATTATAAACTGTCTTCTATGTACATAGAGTTCCTAATCGAGCTAATTTACTATATATGTAGATAGGATATTTGAAATTCTTTTTTAAGTGGAAAATAAGAGCCATTCAGGTATAATTAAAATTAAATTAAGGTAATTGGAACGAATACTGATCAAGCAGATAAAGAACTTAAAATAATTCCACAAATAAATACAGATTTGAAGGTTTAAATTAATTATAATATATCCAAAAAATTATATTCAGTGCTGGGTATTTGGCATTTGTTGGCTCCGAGTTCCGAGGTTTTAAGTCTTGTGTCCGGATCCGGCTTTTAAAATCTTAGCTGAGCCAGCTCCCGAGCCATACCCAGCACTGATTATATTTTGATTTTAAGGAGAAGAAAAAAACAATAACAAAAGGGGATGATAAAATATCAGAAATTAAAAAGGAAAAAACAAAAAAAGAAAAAGACGAGAATCATGAAGAAAACATCAAATTGGAGTTCTTTACTGAAGATAAAAATTTGTTTTTAATTTTTAATGAATTTAAAAAAGGAAAACAGGCAATTACACAAACTTTTGTTGATGTTGGAATTTATGTAAATGAGATTGGAAAGCGTTTTGAATTTTTGGAGAAATTAAAGAATTTTTATAAAAATATTTTTGATATTTATTTTGAAAAAGAAAAAATAAATATTTTTAATAAATTGGAAGAAAAATGGAAAAAAATAAAAAATAAATTAATTTTAAAAAATAAAGAAAATAAAAAAATAGAAAAAGAATTGGAATATTTATTAATTCAAATATTAATAGAAATTGAAGGAAAAATTATTTTTGAAGAAATGAATAAAAAAGAAATTTTTGGAAATTTTAAAATAATTGAAAAAATTAAAGAAAAATTAAAATTTCAAAAAATTTGTAATTATTTTGTAAAAGAAACCCAAATAATTTGGGAGGGAATGTTAGGCTTAAATCAGAGACATTTTGTCTATAAAATGTTTAATTTGGAGGAAGATGAGGAAAAAGATTTTTTGATATTAAATGTACAGAAAAGAGTTGAAGAAATTAAACAAATGAAGGAATTAATTGAATTAGGTTTGGAATTTTTGAAAATCGTAAGAGAATTGAGATCGAGAGTTCCTTCATATGTAGTAATTTACGTACTACACTCTTCAGAAAATGATAAGCACACCCAAGTTTTAAGTAAAAAACATGATTAAATTTAAAATATCATAATTTTGTATATTTTTACGAATTACTAATTCATATTCAAAAAGAAAAAACAATCAGATAGAAATTATTTATGGGTAATATGGGATATAACTGTTGTTTCCTTAAAAACGACTGTCAGATAATTATAAGCTTATTATTATAAGCACCCCCTCAATTTCGGCATTAGAGGCCGTTCCAAAAATCTACAAAAATTCCGGTAAGCATATCCAGTTATGTCAATTGAAAATACAAGAGAAACTAAGTTCTGACAGAGTGTATAATGAGAGCCCGCAAATTTTTAAACAAAATTCTAATTAGAGTCTAGAAACACCATTTCCATTCCTCACTGATGTGCAACATTATTAAAAACTTTCTTTTAAGACAATACCAACAAAGAAAACATAAATCCGAATGGCTTTCAACCTTTATCTTTAAAAGAGGATATTTTAATTGAAAATAATGATGAAGAAATACAAAATAAAATAAATATAAAAAGTAACGACCCAATGGAATTATTAAACGAAGAATTTAATTTAAATTCATTAATTAACCAAAGATTTTTTCCAAATAGAAAAAATATTAAAAATCCAATGGAATTTTTTAAAATTTTATTTGATAAATGGATTGATTTAACAAAAAATTTCAATTTTGGATTATTAATGGCCAGTCCATTCAATAAATTAGGAGGACATATCCAAGCAATTATTGTTGCTGTTGGGAAAGGAAAGGGTGAAGGAGAAGAAGAGGAAAAAATAAAGGCTAAACAAATATTTAATGGAGAACTAGAAACGTTTTGTGAACCTCCATTTGTGTATAATTGTCCAGAAAATTCGTTTTTCTGTTTTATTTGCAAGGTAAAAGCAGGGGAGTTTTATGAGAAAAATATTATAGCAAAAACAAAATAACTATCAATCAGTGCTGGTTATTAAGGTTGTCGGATAATTGGACGAGCAGAAATTTTTGATATCCGGATCCGCCAACCTTACTTGTTGTTATCCCTTGGAAATTGCTTTTTTATTGACTGAAGATTATTTATAAGTCAGGAAACCGGAGCTAATATAGAGAAGCTCCAAAAATCACCATCTCCGGAGCAGGAATTTGAATTTTTCCACACACCACTGATCACCAACTTGCCCAATAGCTATTCAGTTACTAACATAACATAACACAGCATAACATATTCCTTAAAAAATAAGTGACGAGATTTTGTTTCAATTATAAAGAACTCTTTCATATGTAGTTTAAATTCTTTAATAAGACACTTTAAGTCCTAGACATTTAAATCTATTTAATTTTCCAGAAAAGCCTTCACGGAACAATCAACAATGTACATCGTTCTTATTCCTCTGACGATAAAATTTATTTAGAAATTAATGGGACAGAATTTGAAATATTTTTTGTTTATAAAGAAGAACAAAAAGTCTTCTCAAATGATACAAAATGGATAGAAACTTTAATGAGGAAAATTTACAAAAATTTAAATAAAGAAGGGGTTGTTGACAAACAACAAAATTCCTCAATTCTTTACAACCTTTCTTTATTTAAAACTTTTGAATATTTGGAGAATTTATTAAAAAATAAAAATGAAAAAGAAAAAAATATTTTTAATCAGTCATTTATTTATTTAAAAAATTGGGCAAAAGGTTGTTTTTGTAAATTTGGAAAATTAAAATAATTTTAATTTTAAAATTTTAGAAAATAACATTTATAATAGTCAAGAGGGATTTCTCGATGGAAATTCTATTTCTTTAATGTTGACAAAAGTAATTTTGTTATATCCTGGAGCTAATTTATTTGAATTGTTGGAAAGATTTTTCTTTACATATTCTACATGGTATTTTTAAAGAAATAAATTAAATATTAAGTTGGGGGTATCGCGATAATAACATTAAGGTATGAAATTCCGAGAAGCTTACAAGGGAACATTGTTTACTGTAGGTGCGAATTTGATATTTTTTTGGTACCATTTGATAGAGGACCCTCGATTTACTATTGTTGTGTGCGGGTTTCCTTGCAAAATTAGTTTCGGACGAGTTATGGCCGTTCAAAGTTTCAGTCCTTGGGAGTGGTATTTTTACAAAAAACCATCAAACAACAATAGTAAATCGAGAGTCCACTACCAAGTGGTACCAAAAAATATATCAAATTCGCACTTACAGAAAGCAATGTTCCTTGTTAGAAGCAGAAAAACTAGGAAATTACGATAACGGGACGAGATAGTTAACTGATATTATGAAATTAATATACAAATTTTGAGTCGAGAACATAAAAAAATATCACTCAAATTTTAAGGAATTGGCAATACCCTATTTTCTTAATCAAAAACCAAAATGGAAAAATAGATCAACACAAGTCAATGACCATTTTTACCCCTACATATCCTGAATTGTCATTAACAACAAAAATTACAAAATCAACTCAAGAAGTAATTGAAGTAGCTTTTATTAAAGGTATTTTTAATTAGTAAATAAAACAAATAAAAAATTATTAGGTCTTGAAAAAATTTTGAAGCTTCGTCTCGATAAAAAATAAAATGTTCCCGTTGAAATTAGATGAGTAATTTGTTGTTTTATATTTTACATAATGTTACTGAAATTGATTATGAATAAATGTTTTTAATTAAATGCACAAGCAAATCAAATATTTTATTAAGATTTTGAATGGTGGATTAGATATTTTTAACTATTCGAGAATCTCAAGAACTTGTCTAGTTTAGGTATTTCCACCCCCTTCCTCAATTATTCGCAAGCTCAAAATGGTTCTTCTCGGTTCTAAGAAATCAACATTTTCCCCGTTTCCTGTTCTAGAACTTTACACGATCTGAACTGTTACTTAAATCGAGAACACACTTTTTAGTAAACACATTTCTAATATTAAAAAAAATTTTTATAACTCATAAAGATTATAGAAAATTTTACTAAAATTAACAAAAAAAAATCACATATAACGAGTAAAAACATGTTGTCTATAATGAGCAAAACTTGGTTCATCCTCTACTACATTTTTGGCGTGAGAAAGACTTGGACCGGAACAATTACTTGAAACGAGTTTATAACGTTTTGCTGCTAAAGCATCAAATGCTTGCTCTACAAATTGATGGGTTAAATAGAATCGACTAGTATAACGTTGACTATCCATATTCCAATCACGAGTTTCGTTTAAAAACCGGCCAAATACTTCACGGCATGCACGAGCTTTTCCACAAACTATAAAAATAGTGATATAAAATTAATTAATTTTAACGTATAGTTAGATCACGACCTTCAGGGTTCGGTGGTTATTTATGTTAGGGTAGGGTTCATGGCAGGGCTGTCCGCAGTTTACTTGCGGATTGCGGTTGCGGAAAATTTTTTATCAATTGCGGACAGTCCTGGTTCAGAGTCGATTTGTATCGGTGTTCGGGGTCGGGTTTGACAATGTTGGAGTACAGCTCCAATTTAACATATACGTTCTAATAGAAGCCCGTCTCCAACAGAAACACACTCAATCATACTCATTGTATCAAAAAAATTTCTTTCATTTAAATCTAAAGTCCACGTTTGAAATTTATTTTTGAAATTTGTTAAATTTAAGAGCTTCTTTTTTCGTCAAGAATACTCCTGTTAGAGACTGAGCATGAAAGGAGAATCTCGAAAATCTCTGAAAATTTTTATATAGTTCCCATCTCCATCCCATATACAGTTCCCATCCATATAATTAGTTACCATTCCCATTTCTAACTGTCAGAGTAAATGGAAATTAAAATATATCGTGAAAATTATCCGAGTTAAAAAATACAAATATTACTCATAATTCGATCAACTCTTCGAAAATTCACTTCAAATCCACCTCTACCAGCAGCCAATGTACCATGATATCCAATAGTTATTGTGCTAACCGCTGTAGACGAAGCATTCATTGCATCTCTAATTATTCGTTCAACTACAGATAAACCCCAATAACGAGCTTCAGATAATAAAGATCTCCAATCTGTAAAGTCTTCAGGTGGAATGAATTTTTTCCCGTTTGAAACTCCTCCTGGAGCAACACATTGTCTTAGACAATTAATCAGTAAACGAAAGATTTTTGGATCGCGGTGGGAACAGTCAACAAAATTTTGTTTGGTAGCCCATTCCGCTAGACGTGAATTCTCCTCTCTTAGGAGAACTTCAGCAAAAGATTCAATATTTCGACCGTTGGAAAGACGGAATCGAATAATTCGTTGTTTTTGGGGAGAATTTGTTGCATTTGTTATTATTCTTTTTTGTGAATTCATTAGAATTATTAAAGATGGTAAAAATAATTTAGTATGTATTTTAAAATCTAGATAATTTATTAATATAGTATTTTGATAAAAAATTGTAAAATAAAATGTAATTATGTAATTAATTATTAAAATTTGATTTGGTTTATTGGTAACCGGTGCCAATTTCCTAGGGTTGGTCTCCGACATGGGGAAAGGGCAAGGGGAATTTTTTTAATTTTCGGGAGGAGGGGGGGGGGGGTTTCCTTAACATTTCCAGATTTGAAATTGGAAATATCATAGAACATGGTGAACAAAAAATTCGAAAAACCAAAAAGATTGGATACATAATAATTATTCTTCAAATACCCAAATTTTTATTCCAATTTCCCTGAGGCGAGGAATAATCTCGGATAACAGAAAAAACGAATGTTTTAACCTAGAAGGATACCTAAAGACAAACTGTTTTAAATTTTAAATCAAAGTAATTAAAAAATATTTCTAAATTTCAAGAAATGAAGGAATTAGTACATATAAGTATTAGATTTAAATTATACATATTTTAAAGACCACACAACTATAAATATGTATGTGTTAACGGAAATAAACCGAAATAATTCTAATTTCTAAATTATTAAATACATAACCCTTTATTTTGTCAAAAAATAAAATTTAAAAAATCTGACGAATTTGTTTTCAAGATTTTATCATAAGTGATGAAGTATGTATATAAAAAAGGGGGAAGGATTTTTGAAAGAAGAAAAATAAATAAATAATGGTCTGACTGGAAAAAGTGGAAGATTGTCCTTTTCACAATCCTTTCTTCCTCTCGTTTTTTACTGAATAATAAAAAAAGAAGGGGAAGTAAAACGGCAAAAAAGAATAAAAGGAGAGAATGGCATGAACATTAAGGCGCAAACACTCTCGACACGAAATATTAATTTGTCAACTTAAATGGAAAAGAATATTCTAGAGTTCAGCCAGAAGTGGTGGTTGGCATTTTTCATTAAAAATTGAAATAAATTTAAAAAAATGAATTTAATCGAGTCTGTCAGGCATTTTAATCGAGGGAGCAGGCCAACTTACCGCGAGCCCAACTTACCGCTGAGCTATAACTTCGTTCAGAATTGTCGAACACGGGACGCCTTGTTATGGTTCAACGCGTCTCGACGAGCAGAATCGAACCATACCAGGGCATCCCAGATTCGACAATTCTGAACGAAGTTAAAGCTCTGCGGTAAGTTGACTCGGTGTAAGTTGGGATGTGGGTGTGCCCCTTAAGCGACTTGAAAATAAATTCCTTATTTTGGGATTCCTGTCACTAAAAACGTTTATCTTTGGGAATTGAAAGGCAGAATCTCTGCTATATATAACCTGCATTTATAAAAGTCCACCTTTAAAGTCATATAAACGCTTAAATTTAGATTTATAATCCTACGCCGTAATTGACAGACGACAAAATATACTGACTAGAATTTAAAAGCACGCAAATTTCTCACCATTCTCGCCTTCCTCCATTCATTTAAAAAATCTTTTGACGACCCTTTAGTTCCTTTTTCATATTTTTTTCATAAAAGACTCTTGGGCAGTCTTTTTGCCCTAATAGGAAAAACTAAATAAACACAATAAAAGTTCAATTAAGATTTTTTTAAATGTCAAAAACATAAACATATTTTTGAATAAACACGCTAATTTTGAATAAAAAAATGTTCGAAAATTTTATTTTTAATTATACATATTTCTGTAACTAAAAAATTCGGAAAAAAAGACTTGTTTACTAATTGAAATGGAGAAAATACTGTTCGTGATCTATGCCATTATGTTTATTATAATCTAAGTTATTGTTAATTTTCTTTAAGTCATAAAACTGTTTATAACAACAAAATATTTTATTAATAATCCGGAATTTTGTATACTGGGACGAATCTAGGGTTTTTGTTCAGTGGGACGAATTCAAGTTGAGACGAATCCGGGGTGCGCCATTTCTTAAATTTAAAATTTATTCAAAATTTTTTAACAACCAGGAAATAATTTCGCAATAAATCAATTAATTAATTAGTCAAAAAGGGCAATAAACATTTTAACTTTGTTAAATATTTTTAACAAAATTTTAAAAGAAATACAAATGAAATAACCTATTTCCATTTTAAAATAATATTTCCGGAAAAAATATTTCAGAATATAAAGGAGGAAGTATAGACAGATTATTTATTTGAGTAGGGCATCTATACAAAGATCCGATACAAAATATTTTAATTAAATATTATTTTATTTGACTTGTTAAAATTTCAAAAATTGTTTTCTCGTCTTAAAATATTTTCTTACATTATAAAACCTTACCAGAGTTGTCGTTTTACCCTATTTACAGGGCATTTCTCCAATTTTTTCCCCATTTTTGAGTGGCTGCGCTTCATTTTAGTGGTTTGGAAACGACAACCCTAATTTGATTTCCGATTTCCGAGTTCCGACTTTTGAGCCAGTTCCGATTTCCTGCTCTTTCATTTCCGACACCTCTGTTCCGACCCCCTCTGATAAGTAGTCATTAAAAAATAACTTACAGATTGACCAGAAAATAATAGGGCACGTTGTTTATGTCATAACTTTATCAAAATCAAATATAATAAGATCAAACAAAATTCATTTTAGATGATTTTCCATTCCCAAATAAAAATTATTTTCAATTTATTTTTATTTTTCTCTCCAATTTTGTCCAAGCATGTTTTGGAAATTGAAATAATAGATGATTGGAAAGAGGATCCAGAATATAAATATCTCGAGATTCTAAAACCTATTTATCGTTTTGGATTGGAATTATGTGAACAAAAATGTGATGATCGACACAAAAAAGTTAAAGGGAAATTGGGGGATAAATATTCTGATATTTTTTTATTCCGAAAAATTCCTTGGGGTAATAAAAATAGTGAGGATGAAATGGCTGATGCGCTTTTGGAAATGAAATATAATAAAAATGAAGAATTAAATAAAGAAATTGAGAAATCTAAAATAGATAATGATAATCTAAATCAAGTAAAAATAACTATTTTAATTACTCCTCCGGGAATTTCAAAGGTAAAGTTTTATTTTTAGAATATTTGTATGATGTTATAAAGAGGGATTTATTGAAAAGATAGAATTTCAGTCTGCTTTCATTAGAATTTTTTATTTTGAGGGTCAAACCCCTCGTTTCATCAATCAAAGTTAATAATTGTAGACTAAGGTTTGAAGTATTTCAAGCCTTGATAGTAAAATAAAATTATAATTTGCAGCTTCTTTCTTGGAGAGTAAAAGACTGCTAGTCTACCTACCGTAAATGCTGAAATAATGTCTTTCTCTCAAATAATTACCCCCTACAGAGAGAGATCGAAAAAATAATTACCCCTCCTAAAAATAGTTATAATTAGCCTTTTAAAAAGCTAAAATAATTACCCCCTGCTTTTAATTACCCCCTCCAGCGAGAGGTTGAAACATTAATTACCCTGAATAATGCTTTTAGCAAATACGGTACCAATTTTTAATTTACTAATATTTTTTTAAAAAATATTTTAGGTAATTTACAAGGATATAGAGTTGGATCAAACATTCAATAAAATTCAACGAATAAAACTTTCAATAGTGCAACCCTTAAATAATATAAATAAAGGGTATGACTGGAGTAAATCATTCCTTCAACATTTTAATTTAATTACACAAATGGAAAAATATCAAGCATTTTATGAAAATAATTTGGAAATAATTAAAAATAAAAGGGGTGATTTAATAAATAAAAAAACAGAATTAGTTAAAAATGATGCTAAATTGCAAAAAATGAATAATGATTTGAACGAGTCTATTGCTGATCAAGAGAATTTAGAAAAAAAATTTGAGGAGATTAAAAGTGCTTATTGGGCTGATGATAATAAACATTTTGAAGAGCTTTGTAGAGAATTGGAAATTGATTTGGAAGAAAATGATGAAGAAATGGAAGATGAGGAAGATAATTATGATGAAATATTTATGGAAAAAAGTGAGGAGGAAATGGTGAGAGAGGAAAAAGGGGAATTATCAGAAAGAGGAGAATCCTCGGAAAAAGGAGGGGTTTCTGAAAGAGGAGAGACCTTTGAAAGGGGAGAGTCTTCAGGAAGAGGAGAGTCCTCAGAAAAAGGAGAGACTTTGCTTCCAAAAGACAATTTTTAAAAAATATCGCTTGCTTGATAAAATTTTAATAAAATTCAACAAATAAAAATTAAAATATTGGTAGAATTTGCAAATGTAAATCCCTAAATTTAAAAAATGAAAATATTGCCTATCAAGATGGAAGATAAAAAATATTTCATTAAATTATTTCCCAAATATTTATCGAAAGTATAATTTAATTTACGAATTAATCAAAAATTTTTTAATGAATATAATTTTAATCTTTCAAATATAATTTTAAATTACTTTAAATAGCCCAATAAATTTAATTTAAATGTTCCCTTACATCATAATTTTAATTTAAAAACCCTCTTCAAAAACTGTTTTCTTTTTCTTTCTTAATCCAAAGCTTCTCGAACGTACGCAGTTGTTGTTTCAACATTTGTAGCATCATCACCTTCAGGGACAGAGTTTTCACCTGTTTGAAGTTTATCACCTAGAGGTGCTGGAGGTTGACGAGAAGTTGTTGTAGAAACTTCAGGTGTTGTAGCATTATTGACATCGGGAAGAGAGTTTTCCCCTTCTTCCTGTAGTTTATTGATTTGATTCAAAGGTTCGGAAGTTTGGGGAGCTAGACTTGAACTTTCAGGTTGATTGCTGTTATTATTGTTGTTGTTGTTACCACCAAGACCCAAAAGACTTCCAAGATTTCCAAATATCCCAATTGAACTACCCGATTCTTTTTGAGAGCTCTTTAGCTCAATTTCCTTAATGTCCAATTCACCTTTCTCTTCACGTTCGCCTTTACCAACAACGACAGCTCTACCATTTTCATTCGGTGTATTTTCATTTGTAGGTGGAGGAGGTTGAGTAGAATTGTCACAATTATTATTATTTTGAGTTCCACAACCAACACTAAGAAGTAAACAAAGAATACCCGGACCTTCACCGACAGCGACGACACTACCTTTTGATTTTTCATCCTCCTTAACCTCAATTTCACGAGCCTTTAAATCCAAGTTAGATTCAGACTTATCATTGCTTGCAACCAATAACTAAATTTAATTTATTTTTTATGTTATAGTATTAATTTTTTAAGAATTCGTTGAATTTTTTTTAAGTTTTCTCTGATTTTTAATTCTTAATCTGTCCTGAATATTTTTTATAAAATCATATGGTCAGATAATAAATTATAACTCTACCTAGTTTTTTTGGTTTTTCTAGATTCAGATTGCCAAATTAATCTAGAATTTGGATAAGGATTTAAAACATTATGGATATTATATCCACAAAATCTTATAAAATATTTCACTCTATTGGGTTTTATCGAGTTTTTTACAGAAATGTTTATTAGCCACTCGAAATAAATTTAAACCATATATCTGACTGAGAAAATCTAAGAAAACTCAAAATTCAAAAATTGGATAAAAAATCTAATTAAATAACCATAACTCTAAAATATTTCCCTTATTTTTTTCTCTTACTCGTACAAAGGTACGAGTTGTTACGAGCTTACAAACTCTGCTAATAATTAAAAGACTAATTAATTAATTATTTAATAAATTATAAAATAATTAATTAATTTACATTTGAGTTAACTCCATTAAACACAAAAAGGATAAATAATGTTAGCGAGAATATAATTGAAGAACACTTCATAATTCTCTGAAAAATAATTTTTCTTTTTTAAAAATAAAATAAATTTTTTGAAGGATTGCTTGTTTTCTCTGTTAATTTATTCGGCAAGAAAATTTATTATTATTTTCAGTTGTGTAAATAACTAACTGAAAGATAATTGCAAGAAGTCCCTTTTTGGCAATCTAAAATTTTATTTTTATAAAATAGAAAAATAAAAAAAGCAAAAGCAGATTTTAATAATTCTTTAATATTTTAGCAAAATAAATTTATTTGAATAAAATAATCATTTCCAAACATTAATAAATAGGTATAAATTTTTGCATCCAATTCTACTTTGCATGTTAGTAGAAAATAAAATCAATGGAATTTTAATTGTTAATTAAAGTAAAGCAGATGGATGGAAATATCGGGATATTTCAATGTACAAACAGTTACCTTATTGATTTCGGGACCTACGGCCACTGTGTCTTGGATAGTATATTGTCCTATATATTGAGGAATAGAGAATTATGTTTTAAAACAAACGTAAACACAAAGAAATTATTTTTGTCACCCCTATCCCGATATGTACATACGTCCCGATATGTCCGCACACCGACCTGAGTGATGTTTTATCCATTACACCTCACCGCCTACTCTACAGCCTTAGGAATTAAAAAGTTATATGCTTTACATTAAGGCTATATGTTAATCAAGTTAATTTCCTTGAGAAAAATATGTACTTTCTCTGAAATACTTCATTTCTCCCTTAATTTATTTGGGATTTACTTTATTCAATCTTATGATTTTTATTTTATTTTTGTTTTATTCTGTTTGTTTTTAGTCATGCTGAATGTTAACAGAGAGCAAAGCTTAAATTATTATATTTAATTTTAATTTAATCGTTGAGGACACAAATGTACTCAATTAATAATATACCTTTCCATTCTCTAATTTGGATGCAAAATAGAAACTATAAAAATTTTTATTCACGTGAAAATCAGTTAATAAATTCTAATTATTTTATGTTCAGAAATTAATAAATTTAGCTCCAAAAAATAATAATTTTTGGAATTTTAATAAATACAAATTTTATTTCTCTTAAACCGATCAAAATTTTCTTATTCTATCTAAATTAGAATTTAAAATAAATGCGGGTATCGGTTTCGTGATTTCACATTTATTTTTTTATCTGGACCGGTTTTGTCCGATTTTAACTCTAATCTAAATAAAATAATGAAAATAAAAATAATTTTTACACAATTATAATTTTAATACAGGGTCGGAAAATTAGCTACCGCTTTTTTAGCTATACAATTCTTCATTTTAAACAAAAGTCAAAATTTTTTTCCTGGATTCCCAACACTAAGATATTTTTTGATAACAAAATAATAAATGAGATTAATTAAAATAATTTTCTGCATAATTTTTGGCATTTTCTTTTCCTTTCTTGGTTATGTTTAATTACGTAGAGATAAAGTTTTGGCATATTTGAACAACCTAAAAATAATTTTTACAAATTAAAACTAATTTTTTGTGAAGGGGGTAATAAATAGAAAATATAGAATAAAATACCAGAAAATTGCTGCCACAATTATAGCTGAACATATTTCTGCAAATAAATAAAGATGGAAGTAGCGCCAAACAAATAAGTCTTCAGAGCTACTAAAAATAGTTGCTAACAAATTATTTGCTAATGTTCTAGCCAAATTTCCGCTTTGGCCAAGTGGTGAAATTAAAGTTAAGGATGAGGTAAAAGCACGAGCTGAACTTGTTGAGAATGAAATCTCGATAACAGAATGGCCAAAAATTGAAGGGAATAATTGTGAAAGGATTAGTATTGATGAACAAAATGTTTCGAGAAGAAATACCTGAGCATAATATTTTTAAATTTTATGAAACGATTATTAAGTTTTTATGTATTAGAAGCTAATTATGGATTTAATGCAGTTGAGAAAAATGTCGGATTGGATTTTAATTCGGATCGAAAAATCCATAATATAAATTAAAAAACGCTTAAACGCAAATGTGTTCGTCCGTGTTCGTCCGTGTCGTACTTGCTCGTCCGTGTTCGTCTGTCTTCGTCTGTGCTCGTCCGTGTTCGTCTATCTTCGTCTGTGCTCGTCCGTTGTCGTCCGTGTTCGTCCGTGCTCGGCCGTTGTTCGTCCGTGCTCGTCCGTGTTCGTCCGTGCTCGTCCGTGTTCGTCTGTCTTCGTCTGTGCTCGTCCGTGTTCGTCTATCTTCGTCTGTGCTCGTCCGTTGTCGTCCGTGTTCGTCCGTGCTCGTCCGTGTTCGTCCGTGCTCGTCCGTGTTCGTCCGTGTTCGTACGTGCTCGCCCGTGTTCGTCCGTGCTCGTCCGTTGTTCGTCCGTGCTCGTCCGTGCTCGACCGTGTTCGTCTGTGCTCGTCCGTGTTCGTCCGTGCTCGTCCGTTGTCGTCCGTGCTCGTCCGTGCTCGGCCGTTGTTCGTCCGTGCTCGTCCGTGTTTGTCCGTGTTCGTCCGTGCTCGTCCGTGTTCGTCCGTGTCCGTCCATGTTCGTCCGTGCTCGCCCGTGTTCGTCCGTGCTCGTCCGTTGTCGTCCGTGCTCGTCCGTGTTCGTCCGTGCTCGGCCGTTGTTCGTCCGTGTTCGTCCGTGTTCGTCCGTGCTCGTCCGTGTTCGTCCGTGTCGTCCGTGTTCGTACGTGCTCGTCCGTGTTCGTCCGTGCTCGTCCGTGTTCGTCCGTGTCGTCCGTGTTCGTACGTGCTCGTCCGTGTTCGTCCGTGTTCGTCCGTGCTCGTCCGTGTTCGTCCGTGTTCGTACGTGCTCGCCCGTGTTCGTCCGTGCTCGACCGTGTTCGTCTGTGCTCGTCCGTGTTCGTCCGTGCTCGTCCGTGCTCGGCCGTTGTTCGTCCGTGCTCGTCTGTCTTCGTCTGTGCTCGTCCGTGTTCGTCTATCTTCGTCTGTGCTCGTCCGTGTTCGTCCGTGCTCGGCCGTTGTTCGTCCGTGCTCGTCCGTGTTCGTCCGTGCTCGTCCGTGTTCGTCTGTCTTCGTCTGTGCTCGTCCGTGTTCGTCTATCTTCGTCTGTGCTCGTCCGTTGTCGTCCGTGTTCGTCCGTGCTCGGCCGTTGTTCGTCCGTGCTCGTCCGTGTTCGTCCGTGCTCGTCCGTGTTCGTCTGTCTTCGTCTGTGCTCGTCCGTGTTCGTCTATCTTCGTCTGTGCTCGTCCGTTGTCGTCCGTGCTCGTCCGTGTTCGTCCGTGCTCGTCCGTGTTCGTCCGTGTTCGTACGTGCTCGCCCGTGTTCGTCCGTGCTCGTCCGTTGTTCGTCCGTGCTCGTCCGTGTCGTACTTGCTCGTCCGTGTTCGTCTGTCTTCGTCTGTGCTCGTCCGTGTTCGTCTATCTTCGTCTGTGCTCGTCCGTTGTCGTCCGTGTTCGTCCGTGCTCGGCCGTTGTTCGTCCGTGCTCGTCC